TAACTATGATATTTGCGGATACATTAATTGTTAAGGGTGATCTGGGAATTTGCTCCATGCCTCGCTAGCTTGTGTCTCCATGCTCCCTTACCAGGCCATGTGCAGCTTTTATGAAGCTGCAGACTCAATAAAAAATAATGATCTTCCCAAGCAGAAGCGGCTCTATACGTCCTTCCTTCACTAGAACCTCCAACTTAGCTCCACTTGCAAAACCAATTAAGATATTTTTATACATGTTCTTGTTTTGCCCATTTGAAAAATTTAAGCAGAAAACAAAATTATCCAGGAAACTAATGAGTATGTAAACTACCAATGTAGAATAAATACGTAGCCAAAGAGAAAACAATAAGCATATACAGAGTTAAGAACACTGATTCACAGTTCACACATGGATAACTGGATAATAGTTATTTTCTGCTTGAGATAATTTATTAAATGCACTAAATTTATGCATTACATTTTTATAGCTGGAGAATTTGGCTAGGAAGATAGGGATTATTCCAGTTGTTGACGAAGTAGCATTTTTTAATATTTTCAAATTAACAGATAACATTTTATGTTTTATCATGTAGGACGTGATGTTTTGAAGTATATATGTACTGTGGAAAAGTTAAATCTAACTAACAAATGCCTTACCTCACATGGTTATCAAGTACAGCACCACAGAAAGTATCTTTTTTAAAAAAAATTATTCTAAGGTAATAAAAAGTTCATAGTTTTCACTTGAATTAGAGTATTAGGCAAAGATAATGCCTTTGTATTGGCCCAGACACCCTTAAGCGTAACCCTGCACATAATTCAACACCACAACAGTGGTTTTTACTCAGAAAAATTAAAAGGAGGAGCCCAGAAAGAAATAATATAAGCAAAATAATGGGAATTCCCTTCATCTAGTGAGAACAAAATGGCTCTGTGTTCATGTGTATCTTTTCAAAGATGCTTGACACCGCAGGCAGACTGACTGTTATACACACCATTTGGTTCACAATGCCATTCGGAAATAAAACACCAGAGAGAGAAGTTAGAAGTAATGATGCGGATCACTGAGAACCAAAATAAAAGGAATAGGTAGTAAAGAATATCAATATTCACTTCAGGCTAATGTGATTGAGAAAGAGAATGCTTTTCTGAGACATGAACAACATGTAGCTCATGTAGGATTGTGATAATCAATTCTCTTCTCTATTGGAGGCTGAACTTTGGCAAATGTTTAATCAAGTTTAGTTTTGTCCTCCATCGGACCTGTTCTGGAAGGCTTCCCCATAGCAGTTAGTCTGTGCTCATAAGAGGGAATATCATTGTCCTAAGCCAAGTGGTTTTGAGAGGAAAAGTTAAAACCAACTGTAGGAAAACAAAGAAGTAAATGAGAAGTAGCTATTCATTTTGTTTTACATTTTACTCTCTCCCTAGCAGGCTGAGTTATTTCTACCACTCCCTAGTCCTGTCCTCCCGAGTCATGACACCACATTGCCCAGGGACATTGTCACCTGTGAGCACTCTGAGCCCAGCTGAGAGATAATGCAGTGGGCCACGCATGGCACATGCTGCTCGGAGCAGTGGCGGCAGGCCACAGCATTGGGGACCCTCACTGTCAGAGCCCCTGCCTGCCTTTCTGGGGACAAGCTTCTGAAATGTAAAGAAGAGAAAGAAACTTAGTTGGGTATCAGCTGGATGTTCACAGAAGGGCAGTTTCTCAGCAGTGGAGGATTCATGGTGCTTCATATGGGAGAGCCAGTGTGCAGGTGATGGTGTCCTCATGTTTATGGTTTCTCTTTGGTTCTTTTGAATTTACAGGGAATGAAAGCTCAGCCATAACACCTCACACACACATGTATACACACACAGACACACACATGCACAAACACACATGCACACTCACACAGACACACACACACACACACACACATCTACACTGCCCTCAGCTCTGCCATGATGTACAGTCGGTTGCTATGGAGAGGGACCACTTTTAGTCTTCTCATCTACTTCTAGTGTGAAGAGCGATCAAATTGCATTAAAAACAGTGGGGTATTGTAACTGAGAGAGAAAAGCATGGTTTAGAATATTCTTGATTCTTATTAGCACAAGGAGGCCAAGGTTATACAAGCCAGATGTGCTCGGTTCCCTACACCAAGGCTCTGAGGTGGTCACCACAGCTTGCAGCACTCTGGAGAACTGGCGCATGATGTTTGAGGACTCAGGACTTATGAAGCTACAGACCTAACAATAACAAAGGGGAGGCAGGCAGGAATGAAGAAAATCATAGAACAGGACCTAGGCAGGCTCATCTCCACAAGCAACAATTAGGCCACCAGAGTGAGACACCAGCTTAGCCTCCTCTTTTGTATTTTAAGCATTTGTTTCTCTTTTAAAATGAAAAATTAAGGAGGCCCTAAGAAGAAAGGTAGAATGATGCAAATGAGGCTATCTGCAAATATTATCACATTCCCACTGTGGAGATTACTTCATACCTGAGAAGGGCAGCTTTAGAGACACTTGGACCTGAGTTCAAATCCCACTCAGCTGATCCTTAGGTATGAGGCCGTGGGCCAACACTAAGCCCTTATAATGTAAACAGGAAAGATAATACAGAGTACTTTTGAGGTTGAATAAAATACACTTATACTTGGTAGGAATGTAATATGTGCTGATTGTTGCTACTGTTATTGAGGAAATATGGTTATGATCATAAAGAAGGAAAAGGAGAAATGTTGTCAATGTAGACAAAACCAACCATGGCTATGTGGCCAAGATTTGGAAACATCAGGATTGGTTTCATCTATTTGCAATAGGCAAACCTTTTCCTTTCCTTTCCAATCATTTTCAAGCATAAGCAGCCTCAGAATTTATGGTCATTACACATCACTTCCCCGGAACTCTGAACAATACTCTCTCATCTACTTGTTTCTCCTTCTTCCACATGGGGTTTGCTAGCCCGCCTGCACTCCCAAACTGCTCTTTGCCATCCATTCCTGGTGCTTCTACTGATCTCTTCTGGGGAGCTGAGAAAAAGACTCACTTCACTTTTTCCCCTCTTTTCTTCAGTACTGGGGATCAAGCCTAGGGACACTCTAGCACTGAGCTGTACCCTGGCCCTTTCTTATTTTTAATTTTGTGACAAGGTCTTGATACATAGCCCAGGCCAGCCTTGAACTTGGATCCTCCTGCCTTAGTCCTGAGTAGCTGGAATTACAGGCCTGTGCCACCATACCCAGGCACCTTTGTGCCTTTTAACCAGACCAAAGGCAAGCCCCAACAACACACATGTTCCAGAACAGGATGTCACTAAGTGTCCCCACACCTCATCCTCCTCACTGTGGCTAAGTAGCCATTATTTCCCCTTCTCACTGCAGAATTCATTGTCCAAGAAAGGACCCCTGCAAAGACAATTTCTGGGTCCAAAAGAAATGTTCTAATCTTTTTATTCTGAAGCAGATGTTGGATTCAAATAAGGCTCCTTTTCTCATAGCTCTCCAGTGTGATAGCCACACATCTTGAGACTGGAAGAGGCTCTTGTAAGCATAAAGAGAGAGCTTTCCTAAGAATCTGACTAATCCTATATCCCCAAGTTACCCATTAGAGACCCGTGCATCTGACACATAGGACTGAGTAACCTGTAGATAATGCCCCCCTTTTTGTAAAGGACATATATTGCTTCAGCTGTTTTATTTTAAAGGCAGGAGTTGTGTAACTGTACATTTTAATTAGAAAAGACCTAAATACTCTTTGTGTAATGGGACATAATCTATAGGGCTCCTCTTTATCTCTGTCTCTCTCTCGCTCTTTTCTCTAGCTTTCCTAGCCTCTCTAAGGAACATTCCCATATTTCCATATAAACTCCAAAAACTGCTTAGAATTTGGCATCTATCAATTTTTCTTGGCCCTGTTCTTCAGGATTCCTATTTTTCCTTCATTCTAGGTGGTGGTTCACTTGTTGAGATCAGTAGCAGGAAAACAGAACTGTCTTTAAACTAATTTGAAGGACAGATCCACCATTTGCCCTGAATAAAGGGCAGTTGGGACATTGGGAAGGCTCAAAAACAGTTACAAGGACTTAGGCTGTGTGATTCAGCTAAATTCTGATTCTTCCCTAATTAGTGCAGCCAGAGTAAGGAGGGGTACTCCCAATAGTCCTCGGAACCTCCATTAGCATAATAAATATTCCAAGCTTCGCCTGACAGTCTAAATGTTTTAGACATGTCATTCATTCTTGAAAGGAATTATTTATGTTTCGTACTTTTTTTTCTCTTTCAGTTTGAGTATGTTTTCTCAGCCTTGTTCTTTTAAGAACCATTAATGAACTATTGTTTCACAATCCTCTTTTTAAAAAAGAAATTACAATTTCCATAGGTACCACTTTTGTTTGAAATAATTGCTTTTATAATATAAGTTGGTCCTTTGAAAGTTTGGTCCTTGGACTATCTACATTTGAATTCCCTGGACATGAGGCATGAGCCTAGGAATTTTGCATTTTAGCAAACTTTCAATGGGTCACCTTGCACTTTAAGATATATGAGTCACTAAATTATCAAGAAGCCCAAGTATGTCTCTAAATGGGAAACCCTACCTAATTTTTAAACTCTTTTCTTTCTTAACCACAATAGTATCTTTCATTTTAAGCTGTGTATGGCATTTATAATTTTCTTAGAACATATTATCTATTTCCAAACCTATATATTTAGTTATTCCATGTATTTTATCTGCTACAATGGAAAGGTGGGAAATAAAGGAGGAACGAAAACACTGACTTGGAGTGAGATGCTGTGGGATTGTGAGCTGAAACATCATGACACACTTCATTCTGTGGCTACAGATCTGGGCTGGACCGTGGCATGCTGAGGACCATCCAGTCACTGGTCCGGTCCATCAGTGGCACCACCGTTGCACCTGTGTCCCACTGCAGCCCACAACCTGGGGCCCTCAGGATCCCACCCATCTCTGCAGACCTGCGAGGAACCAGGAACACTGCCACCGGCTGCTTCAGCTACCCTTTGTCTCCACAGATCCAGAACTCAGGGCCTGCAGACAGCACTGTCCAGTTCATCTTCCATCAGCCTATCATCCACCGCTGGAGGGAGACGGACTTCTTCCCTTGCTCAGCCACCTGTGGAGGAGGTAAAGATGTCCCTGAGCTTCACACTGCTGCTTCCGCTGTCATCAGAGTAGAGTGGTCAGCAGGAAAGAAATGGGACCGGTGGGGACCCTCTTCCTTTCCAGATGCAGCCAAATCCCGGAATCCTTGGGAAGGCTCTTTAGGTGAAATTCCTCATAAACTTCTCTGCCTAGAGTCCCCGTTAGAGGAAATACTCTATTTCTTTCTTGATTTCATGGAGCACCCTAATACTTTGACAAGAGCATTGTCCTAGCACTTCCACTACTTTCAGAACAAACTGTTCACCTGGCTGAGGTGAAGCCATTTATTCTGGAATCGAATGAAGAGCATTTGTCAGGCTTACCTGGTATGATGAAAAAATATATTGAATTTTAATTTAAACCAAAAGTATTACAGTAAACGACACAGTGCTTACAGTGCTATCAACCCCTTCAAAATATTCCTGGTCGCTTCAAACACATGTACACCATCATTCTGAAGCAGTTGTGGAGTCCTCTTTTGTATCTTTAGTTCTGCTCTTGTGGCTGCCTCAAAGTCCTGAATCTGTTTACAACATTTACCTTTCATGGTTGTTTTAGCTTTGGGGGAAAGTCAGAATCTGCATGGTGCTGGATCTGGTAAATAAGATATGTGGAACATACCGCAATGTTTCCACAAGCCTGCTTCTCCACTGGGTAGCACACAGTAGCAACATTCACTGTATTTTTGATCACACCTCATAAAGACTATCAGAAAAGAACTTCCAGAACTAGTTCAGAAAATGCAAGATTGATAGGATAAGAGTGCTAGAGGCAAGAGGGAGTGTTTTGAGAGGGATTTATGACAATATGGATTTTACTGTAATTTTTTACTTTAAACATCCGCCATATATTTCAATCACACCTTATATTTAATTAGAAAAAACAGTTTATTACCAGAAAAAAATTGGTATATTATAGACTTATAGTCAGATAATTTGGGGCTGCACCCCACCATGTCTGCACTGAAAAGAATGTCATTTGTTTCATATATTCGCTGAAATGCATCTCTCTAGAAAAGTCACAAAATGAATTTCTGTCTCCACTCCACCACATCTGTATCACAGACCGCACTCTGTGTTACCAGAAAAATTTTTGTTTTGGGTTTTGGTTTTGTTCCCCATTTTGTGTTCTTCATAATTATAGTGATTATATATAATAATTGCTGTGGATTGTTTTACAGTAATTTATTTTGCCATTTCCCTATAACAGATGATTTAGGTCATTTAAACCCTTCTACTATTATAATGTAATGAATAACTTAATACCTAAGTATTTTTCTTCTTTCACATGATTTCCTTGGGATAGATACTCAGCAGTGAGGTTACTAGATAAATAAGTTTCAAAACTTTGGTGGTTACTGGCATGTATGACCAAATCCCTTCTAGAAAATAGTAAGCAGTGTAGGAGTACTTTAGATTCTTTGCCAACTTTTGTGAATTTTTTTAAGTTTTTATGATTATAAAATTATAGGTATATTCCTTTGAAAATTAACACATTGAATAAATTCTAGCTCTAGCTTCATGGAAGCCTATTAATTGACCAGTTTTAAATTGTTCATCCACATAGGTATTACTAAATTAATTTTGATGTGAAATAAAAGGATAATACCTCAAAACAGAGCCAAATGACCACCCATTAATTACTGTAAAACAGGAAGACTATATGATGTAATTCGCCTTACCTGTGTTATCTTTGTCTACATATTGTGATCAAATGACTAGAAATTTGGTTCTATAGGGCAACATTAAATTTCACTCAAAAAAACAGAGTCAAAATGCCATCAAGGGCTTTTACTCCGGTGTTAAATAACCATTAATTCAACACTTCAAGAGCTCCCAATAGATCACCATTTCTATTCTCTGAACAGAAAATTCCTGTTTAAAACTAAACTGCCATTACTTTGATATTTCGCGGGATTACATTATTTTGATACATCTATTAATGACTAATACAGACAAGAATTTGAAAGAATAAAATCATTTTTTAATAGTTTTTCTTTTTAAACAAAAACCAGGCTTGGTGAGAAATAACAACTCGGTTATATGTGCACTATACAAGTTTCATGTAGAGCTGCTGTGGGGTATAATTTCAGTAATCTGGACAATAGTTTGCTATGTAGTAAGGTTATTAGTGTTGGATTCATATGTATCCCTTGAGACCTCATTTTCCTCACATCTAAACAATGAAGTAGAACTATGAGTGGTTTTCAAATGTCTTCAGGTATCATAGCTTTTATTCAAAGGAAATTTTCCTAGGAAGACAAGATAAAGAAAAGCTGTTCTCAGTGAAGATGTAAGGGTGTGGGGACCAGGATTCCCCTCACTTCATGAAAGTTACTAAAGTTACTAAAGAAGTCACCTCCAAGTTCTCTTTTCTGCTACTTATTCCAGATTCAACTAGTTGGCTGTTTAGCCCAGTGTAAAAACTGGTATTCCAAAATGCCTTGAGAAACTTCCAGAAATATGGTTCTCTAATCATTTTGGTCATTTACTTCATTTTCATTCTAACTTTTCAGTTCATACTGTCCATAATGGCTTCAAAAGAATGAGATTAGGCTGGCAAATTACAATTTGGAAAAATCATAATCTCAGATTCATACTTTATCGCTTACACTTATGTGATGAATTCTGCCCTGGAGCACAAATTATTATTTGAAAAATTATAATATGTTTAGCTTATCATAAAATCAGCTGCTGTGGAGTACAGTGGATTTGATAAAGGAAAGTATATTTTCTTATCTGAAATACCATTTTGTGATTTGGTTTTCTTATGAAGCAAAAAAGTTAAATGGAGTAGGTATTTTTACCCATTGCTTTTGTTACCTTCCATGCTTTTCATCCTTCCAGTAGACTTTTAAGAGGTCTTTTTTTAGGTCTTTAATGAACAGTTAATTTTTGTGGGTGGTCTGAGAGCACCGCCTCAAGTCAGGAAATCTGGCTTAAAAGCCTCCTTCTGATTTCCTAAAAAGTTTTGCAAGTCCTTTAACAGTTTAAATCTTGCTTCCTAGTACATATTTAGCAATAACAGTATTCAACCACCTGCCAGAGAATATATTTGTAGGATTGTTTAGGGTTAGAATAATACAATGTGTGTGTGTGTGTGTGTGTGTGTGTGTGTGTGTGTGTGTTGGTACCAGGGTTTGAACTCAGGACCTTATGCTTGCAAGGCAGGCATGGTGCCACTGAGCTAAATCCCTGGCCTAGAATAATACAATTTTTAAATTCTCTATGTACATTAAATTTTCACTCCAGGAATCTAAGTATTGATCACCATTCTACCAGAAATGCACAGGACATAAAAAAGCAGATAGGAAAGATAAACATATTATGACTAAAACCAATTATTACTCAACTTTTCTTTTAAAAGAGGCTTTTCTAAACATTGGAAATTTGTAGATAGATAGATCCTAAGAAATATGGGCTAAACACTTAACTTCAAGAGAAATGATAAAAGATTTTGAAGAAAGCAAAAATTAAACAGTGGAGATCTTTTTCTTGTGTTGTTTTTTAGTTCTGCAAGGAAACAGGATTCATGGTGACCTCTATTAGTATCTTAATTGTCCATTTATTCAACTCAAGTAATTTAGTTTGAATTTAGGCAGAAGTTATATTCTCTGGCAGCTGGCAAAGCCCGATCCTCTGCTGTACTCCATTTGCCCCCGTTGTCCAAGGAGGAGAATGCTGGGTTAGTTAGTTAGTTAGTTAGTTAACTAATTGAGAGCTTACTTTTCCTCATGCCCTAGGTGCTAAGAAGGCAACTTAGCATCCTTGCATAAGATAGTTGGTTAAATAAATACTTACAGTCTTTTTTGCACACAGAATTCTGTTATATTTTTATGTTATACAAAAGAAATAAAAATAATAGTTCTTACCACACAGTCTTATAATCTGACCGTGCTCTCCTATAACTCAAGCCCTATAATATAATGTAAGTATTAAAATGAGTGAATTACTTAAGAAAAACATTATCTAAAGCCTGCAGGCATTAACGAGCCTTCCAATTATGTACCTTTTGCACTGAAAATGACTGGAATAGTTTCCATTAATGTGAGATGGCCAAAAACCATCAAGAACTATCCTGTAGTGGTGCTTTTAAATTTCCCCGGTTGACTTGATACTCACAGGTTACCAGCTGACATCAGCCGAGTGCTACGATCTCCGGAGCAGCAGGGTGGTGGCTGATCAGTACTGTCACTATTACCCGGAGAACGTCAAGCCCAAACCCAAGCTTCAGGAGTGCAACTTGGACCCTTGTCCAGCCAGGTCAGTCAGATTTACTGATTCCTTTATCATAAGCATGAATAAGGTTCCAAATAACCATCTCAAATTTAAATGTTTTAAAATTTAAAATAAAATGGCAAGCATGGCTGTCAGTGCCCGTTCCTGATTGCATGTCACCAGCCCTGTGCCTCTTGGTCTTGATTCGATGTGGTGCTACTCAGCGCCTATGGACTTTGTTCCTGTGAAGTAGCAGGTAAAGCACTCTTCAGAGTCGTGTTGTCTTCTGATTTCTTTACATTCTGAGCCCTGGTTTGTCTCCTTAAGATACTATAGGCTAAGGGCTGCTTGGTATTCCTAACTAGTTTGATAGCCTTATGTTCTTAGATTTCTTTCCCTTTCTTCTCTGTCCCCAATCAGACATGACCAAAGCAGACTCTGTATCAGGGTCCCAACTGATTGATACCTATCCATTAGATCAGAACCAGCCTTACAACCACTCTGTGACCCTTGAGCCACCTCAACCTTTGCAGGACTTATTTCCAAGGTCAGGCTTTTGGAAAATCTTTTTAATTAGAAGCTTTGAAAGTTTAAACACTCAGCACTTTCATACATCATCGTTTGCCTTTGGGAAACCAGAATTGACTCTCAGATTATTTGTAGGATCAAGAATAAACCTGACACCGTAAAAAATGAGAAATTAGAGACATTCATAGCTAAGTGGATGCACGTTGAGGCAATACTCTTAAGTGAAATAAATAGGACACACATGTGTAAATACCGAATAGTTTCTCTGGTGTGAGAAACTGAAAGTGTAAATAAGGACTCAATGTACAATAGGTAATGTGAAATAGGAAGAAAAGGGGCAAAGGGGAAGGAAGTGGGAGGGCTAGGGGAAAGGATAGAAGGGAATGGGATTAATATGAGAAAATGGAAAAATAGGAACAAAATCTTTGTAAATAGGGAGGAATTGAGGAGTTGAAGGGAGGGCTGGGCAAGGGTGAAAAGTAAGAACCAAGAGAGACTATGTAAAGGTGCAAATTTCCAATGATGAATGTCATTATATTGTAGACCTAAAATGTACCAATGATTAGAATGAATAATCAGTAATGCAAAATAGGAAGAAAAGGTCCAAAGGGGTAGGGGTAGTGGGAGGGACAGGGGAAAGGGAAGAAGGGAAAGGAAAAATGATGAGAAATGGAAAAAATGGAAATAAAGTCTTTGTAAATAGGGAAGGATGGAGGGCATGAAGGGAGGGCTAGGAATGGGGAAAAAATAAGAACCAAGATGCATTATGTAAAGGTACACTTCCCAATGAGAAATGTACTTGTGTTGTATACCTACAATGTACCAATAAAAAATTTAATAAAAAAAAAAGAATAAACCTGACAAATGAAATCCTAGGTAATGAGTAATCACGAAAGTGGAGGTCAAGCACCTTTCCAAGAGTGAGGTGCTCACGTTAACACTGCAGCTTTTCCTACTGATTTTGCTTAGTAGCAGCTACTCAGGCGCACCGTATCAGTGAGGCTATAAGAAAGTCCTTCCCCTACAAAGTAATTACAAAAACTGAAAGATAAAGGATCCTTTTCCAAATTTGTTGGATTTCTGAGAAATACTTCAATGTTTTATTAAAATTAGAGTTTATTAATTATATATAGATAGAAAGCTCTGAATGATTAAAATACCACAATGTGGGCAAATTAGATGCAAAGCATTCTATCTTTATACTCTAAGCAAGGTAATTTATGTTTTTATTTTCTGCCTTTAACTTTTTAAAGTTCATGTCCTTGTACTCTTTCTACCTTATATTCATGAATTCTAAACTTATCATGTGATAGGAAATTGCTATTAGTAACTTTCCTACAGAAACCATATTAACTGCCTCATAAAAGTGCACTCATTAAAGGAACAGAGAATACATATGGCATAATTGTAAAATTTAGGTGAAGTTTAACTCAGCTTTATATCACACCAGAATGTTATATATTAAAAGTTAGATATGATTAAAAAAAGTTAGATATGATATAAAAGCTAAATAAAGTGTTAAAATTTGCTTGAATTTCTTTATTTTGGAAAAAGTAAGCATTTGAAATATTTTAGCTATGACAATTATAATCCATGCAATTTAACACTATTTTAAAATATTCTATTTTTACATTTTTATCCATACCTCTGACAGGAAGATCAGAGTGTGAAAAACATATTTGTCTCAATTCAGACATTCCACTCAGCCGTCGACTTTGACAGTCTTGTACACATGTTTGCTTTCCAGTTTGAACATGGAAGGATCTGTTGTGTACAACTCCATACAGCTTCTCCCACTAGGAAAGAACTTTGGTGAAAACAACAACTATGGAGGATGGTGGTGGAATAAAAGCAGTTTGCTAACAATTGAAGAAAATATTCATAATCAGAGAAATTCTTTTGGCCTCTGAGTTTTACCTTCTCTGTGGGAGTAACATCTTTGGCCCATTTCTTATTATCCTGAAGAAAAGGTTGGATTGAAAAAAGCCTGCTCATCCAATTTATGTTTTTTCTGTACCATGTGTTATTTTAAAACATCTAATACAGCACATGTATAAATGTTGGGACAGGTGGCTGTTTAAAAAAGAAGAAAAGTGAGAAAAGGAAAAATAAAAAATAAGTTGGAGGCAAATGTCAGGAAGCTGCTTTTTTATTGAAGAAGTAATTAGACAAAGCTGTAAAAATTAAGACTAAACAGTAAGTGAGGCTGAAAGAAGAGCTCCTTTAGGAGATGTAGCGATGCTGCTCTGGGGTTGATACTTCAGGATCTGCTATGAAGTTCACTGAGCTCTTTAATGTGCCTAGGATCAAAGCAACCTTTCTGACTTTCAAGACCAGACAAGGCAGGTTCACCTGAGAAAAGTAGATGGAAGAGACTGTAAGATAGACCTTCTCTTCCATCAGACATAGCAAAATTAAATCCTCAAGTAACTCTTCTCTACTTACAGATTTAATTATCTAATTTTCTATCCAAAATTAGAAACTACCAAAAAGGAAAACATAGACTTTCTTAGTACAAAGTCACATATTTTTGAATTTCAAAAATATATAACCATTGAGATATTTATTCATTTTTTTCCTGTACACACTGGCATTTTCGGCCTATTATGGTTCTGAGAAGTAAAATCCCATTTAGATAGCCAGGCTTATTTCCTTCCAAGACAGAGAAGTGTCACAAGCAGCAAAAATGGCCTAAAAATGAAGGCTGCAACTTTAGTTTTAATGCTTTCTCATCCATAAAACGAGAGAGGGTCATTGATTGTATTAAAGTATTGAACTCAAACTGTGCCAAAGGAATCTGTTGTTCCACAGTATTGTTTCCTTCAGTTTCAATTCATATATTTTAAATTATTTTTGAACAGTAATTCACAAAAGATACATTTAAACAATTTTAACTGATTGAAGCTGAGTTGTAAAAAACTGTTTTAACAATTGTAAAACTGTGTACCACCAAAGTAATACTTTTTGTCCTCATCAAGTTCTTCCATTATTTCTGCTTAATTGAAAAATTGAGCATCCTAAGATTGCAAGGGCAACTGTTAAAACTGTTACCATGAGCAATTACTTCTTGTGATAATAAGAATGTTCTCATTACTACACATTTAAAACCAAAGAAAGCAAAAACAAACTAGATATGACCAGTGGTAGCCATAATCCCTGATGGACTGTGGACAAAACACTTTTGTGTTTATCAAAATATCTTCACTGTCCTCATTATTTTGCCTTATAATAAGTAAAGTTATACATTTGAACCAATTGTCTAAAATTTTATTAGTAAATATTCTTATCAGGTTTATACACTATGGTCTTACATACAATGTAAAGCCTTTCAATGACCAAAATGTTTCTAGTACTGTAACTTGCTGCTTATTCTTCTGTCCATAACCCCTTCCAACTTCCAACTCAGGGACTGTCGGTGTCAGTCATTATTTCAGTTTTAGGAAGTTCACAAACTTCCTGAATTCATGAACAGTTAACTTGTGGGAATTGTTTGAAATCGATGCAGATCTGATCACTAGGCATGGAGGTTCTCAGAACTATCTCACTCCTTACCAGCTGTCCAATTTTTGGTTCTCATTCTCTCTTCCTTTTCTTCTTTGCTTTTCCACCTCATTTTTAGTTCTGTTTTTCTTCTTCGTGGTTTTCCCTTTCTTACCCTCACCAACCACAGCCACTGGCTGCCATGGTTATAGATTAGATCACCCAGTGCTAACAAGAATGTTTACATCTTTCAAATTAATTTTTATATTTTTATGGCTTTTTTCTGATTCTAAATGCTAACATAGAAATGTTTGTAAGTTAAAAATCTATAAGGAAAACAATAGAATTCACTAAGAACCCCTAATGCCCACAGGTAATGTTGCTACTGTGTTTGCTATGCTTCTTTCCTCTGTTGTCTATACTATGACATAGATGAAGTTATACTCTATAAGGAGACACCTGGAATTCAATGATTTAGCATTTTTTGTTTCCACTCTTCTACAAGCAAGCCTGGGAGTGTCCATGACAGATAGTGCCTTTCCCTTTTGCTGCGGCAGAGATTTAAGTCAGTGGCCCTGTGAGCCCAGAACCTGAACCACGATGGCCACCCAGCTGATTCATCCCAAGACAGCACTGCTGCTTTCTGTGTCATTAATGCAGTCATTTTTAATGAAGTGATAAAATACTTAGTTTCCTAGCCAAAAGTGGTCTCAAAAAGGGATCCAATGCTTAAGGCTTGTGAGGGAAGTAAAGAGAAAATCCAGAATAAAGATGTAATGACTTTTAGCTGAAACTAATAATGGTTTTCATTGGCAGCTGGGAGCTGTGACATCCTTCACACTGTGTGCAGTGCATTGCATGTTCTGGGCATGGTACTGACCACCCAGGTTCAGAGACATGCCACTCCACGTGTCAGACATCTGCTGCATAACTATACACTTAATGCCATGTCACTAAGCATTTGGGATCTACTAAAATACAAAATTCTCTCCTGTGCCTACCATCCTTTAGTCCTAACTTCTATCTTATACCCCGGG